AATTTACAACCAGTACTTTCGCACAAACCCTAGCACCTTCGCCTGAACACCGTGGACACTTTACTTACCCACGCACCTACTACATCGACACTAAGCCCCAACCCTAACCTCGAGCCTGCAAACCCAAACGAAAACACTAAACCATACCCCCAATTCTCCATACTGCTCAGCCCGAACACCCTGGTCCTCGAACACGAACACTAACACTCGAACCGTAAGCCTCAACACTGCACCCCAGCACCTCTTAGCCCCCATGAGCGCGCCCCGCCCCGTCCCCCGTCCGTCCGCTTCCACAAAAGGGAGGACCCCTCCTTTTCCAGAGCCAAGGGCCAAGGGGAGGGTGAGGGCGAAGGTTTGGCCCCCAGGGGGGTTAAGGGGGCATAGGACCACATTCCTTTGGAGGGGGAGAGGGGAAGGGGGGGAGGAAGATTGGGCCCCCTGAGCCCCCCCCCGTTTCATTTCCACGGGGGTCTGCTGGCGTTCTTTCCCAAACTCCCTGCTATCCGCGCACCTGTCTTCCTCATCGAACTACTCCATGTAGCCTCCCTCCTCCACCTAATATTCTGCTCCACCCCTCCACTTCCTCCTTATCTCCCTCCGCCGCTCTCCTCACGCTCCTTCTCATCCATTCGCCGGTGTCTACCCTGATGCTTCGGAATGGACCGGGCGTCCAAGTACATGCTGTGCATACAGTATGCTTTCTCAAAGCGTAACTCGACCTGAATCTGCCCCAGGACATCAGGCGATCACAGGACGGGCTCAACACGGTGGCGAGACATGGTCTAATCTTCTTTTGTACCGATGGGACTGGGTAGCTCGGGGAACACAATGTGATAGCATTGCGCTCTGAAGGCCAGTGCCCGTGACACCGCCCCACCGTTGCTGGGCGTCTATGGGGTCATGGGGGGGGCATCATCAAACACGTTATCTCGAACACCGTCGGCATGTCCATCAACATGGTCACCAGGCAGGCAGGAGATGGCTGATATTGCGCCCAGGATGCGAGCCCCACCCCATTGTTACACACGACACTCCGTGCCGCCCTACGCGCGTTCCAACCCCTGCCCCCCTGGCGATCTGCACCTCAGAATCCGAGAAGCCTTCTGTGCACCACAATAAGCGGTGCCTCACTTATCTGCAAGCCCGCCTGACTTTGGGATCCTGGTTGTCGGCTCGAAGCGAGGCGTGACATCGTGAATAGAGCCATGCCCAGAGCAGAGCCTACCGGATAGATCAACATGGCTCCTGGCGCTCCAACTAAAACATGTTCGGGATGATTGCGGGTGCGATGTCCGCTGCTTGTGCAGCTGCTGCTGAGTTACTTCCAGCCTTCAGGGCACTGCTCTTCAACGGTCGAGGGCATGTGGTGAGAACGCGTAGCGGCAACACTCTAGCTTACACGAAGAGCAGCTTCAAAGTGAACCTCCCCTCATGAAGCACAATGCCTCACCTGTCAACCGAGCTCACATGCTACCCAAAGTAAGCTTGGACTCAAACTAGCTCTCTCAAGCACAAACTACCCCACCTAGACCGCTTGACACTGACATGACCATCCTGCTACCCATCAGCCCCAACTCTCCCAACGTCCAGCCTTGGCAACATGTGCAGACATTGCAGCGGCTGGCTGATCGCTGGCAACCTCTGCGGCTGAACTCTGCGGGTTGGGTGTGGAACGTGCAGGCGGGATCTCTGTGATGCGGATGTCGCCAAAATAATAATGTACGCATTCCTCCAATATCCTCCTGGCGTCTCGGCACGCCCGCTCGCCTCCCTGCACAACCACGCAGTCGGAGGCGACGCCGAGAGTGGCCTTTGTGCCCGTGTCCTGAGAGAGCTTGTTCATGTCGTCGGTGAGATCCTTGACTAATGCAGGCTCAGCCTTCGAAAGCGACCCGACCACTAGCTGCAAGGTCAACTCGCCTGTCCACTCAGCTCTGGGTTGGTCCGCCTCTGGAGACGGGGAAGGCGAGGCGATCGGACCAGTATACTCAGCCTCTGGACTGGTACCAGCAAATTCGGTAGAAGGCCGCGCCATAAACTTAGACTTGGCAGCAAGGGGCTTAGCTTTGCTAAGAAGGGCAAAGGTTGACGACTTAGGCGAGGCCTCCAAGATAACCAAAGGCTCTGGTTCCTCAGATAACGTGTCCTCAGAGAGCAAACGCTGCACCTGACCACATGTCTCGGTTGACAAAGCTGCAGGTGCAGACGCATTTCGCTGCAGCTGCAAACTTGGTGAGGCTGAAAGCCTCGATAACGACCGACCCTGGTCAAGCCACACTTCTCTACCCTTCAAATCAGTTAGCGGCCGGCCCGACATTGTGCATGACCTCCAGGTTTGTTCGTGGCAGGCGACCAATGAGTCAGCGGGCAAATAAATCCAGCCTGGCTGGTAGTCTGCATAGCCTGTTTGTAACCGATCATTTCGTACTGACCACTCGCCTGGGGGAGGATTCGGCTTGTCCCCGACGGTTTTCTTTTGTTCGTACGCCTTCACAGAATC